ATGCCTGCAATCCTAGCACTTTGGGAAGCTGAGGAGGGAGGATCACTTGAAGCCAGGAGTTCGAGGCCAGCCTGGGCAACATAGCGAGCCCATGTCTCTACACAAAATTTAAAAAAGGCCGGGCATGGTGGCTTACACTTGCAAATCCCAGCACTCTGGGAGGCTAAGGCAAGCGGATCACGAGGTCAGGAGATCGAGACCATCCTGGCTAACACGGTGAAACCTCGTCTTTAATGAAAATACAAAAAATTAGGCCGGGCGCGGTGGCTCAAGCCTGTAATCCCAGCACTTTGGGAGGCCGAGACGGGCGGATCACGAGTCAGGAGTCGAGACCATCCTGACTAACACGGTGAAACCCGTCTCTACTAAATAAAATACAAAAAAAAAACTAGCCGGGCGACGGTGACGGCGCCTGTAGTCCCAGCTGCTCGGGAGGCTGAAGGCCAGGAGAATGGCGTGAACCGGGAGGACGGAGTTTGCAGTGAGCTGAGATCCGGCCACTGCCACTCCAAGCCTGGGCGACAGAGCAAGACTCCGTCTCAAAAAAAAAAAAAAAAAAAAAAGAAAATACCAAAAAAATTAGCTGGGCATTGTGGCCATACGCCTGTTAGTCCCATCGTACTTGGGGAGGCGAAAAGCAGAGAATTTGCTTGAACCTGGGAGGATGGAGGCTGCGAGCTGAGCTGATAATGCACCGATGCCACTCCAGTCCTGGTGACAGAGTGAGTCTCAAAAAAATAAAATAAACCTGGGAGGCGGAGCTTGCAGTGATCTGAGATCGTGCCACTGCACTCCAGCCTGGGCAACAGAGCGAGACTCCATTCCAAAAAAAGTAAAAAAATAATAATAATAAAAATAAATAAATAAATAAATAAATAACATCCCCATCCTTTTCCACGGCTGCATAGTATTCTACCATGTGAATATACTTTATGTCCACTTGGTTCTCCAACTGTGAAACACTTGGCGGGATCTGTAGGTTTCACTCCTACTAATATTACTGCTACACTCCACACACCACATCCCGCATGGGTGAGGATACTGCTAGGATCAATTTCCAGAAATGGTTTTGCTGGGAGTTCCTGCGCATGGATCCCCTGCAATTAAACGGGACATGTGGCATACGCATGGGTATTTTCCTGGGCAGATCCTCAAAGGGTCAGTGACTGGATTGGACCCTGAATCTGAGGATGGGGATGAGGGTTTGGTTCTGGGAGACCCAAGGCCTGTGGCCCAGGCTGGGTACTAACCAAGGTCATCGGCGAGCCTCCGGCCATCCTCGGCAGGCACAACACGTTCGTCCTCCAGGTCACACTTGTTCCCCACCAGGATGACCTGGGCGTTGTCCCAGGAGTAGGTCTTGATTTGCGTGGCCCTGCAGAGTTACCAGTCGTGAGTCATGAGCCAGGGGGTTAGGGATAAGAGGAGAGGGCAAAGATCTGGGGTCTGTGGTCAGCAAGCACTCACCAGTCCTGCACGGCGGCAAAGGATTCCTGATTGGCGACGTCATACATGAGCAGGAAACCCATGGCTCCCCGGTAGTAGGCTGTGGTGATGGTGCGGTAGCGCTCCTGGCCCGCCGTGTCCTGGACAAATGGCAGTGACAGCTGGCTGGGAACTACCTGTTTCCCAGTCCACCCCTGTCTGAGAGGGCCACTGCCCTGTGTTCACAGCCCCAGTCTCACAGGGGAGACACAGACCTGCTTGTACAACCTCCGGTCTGATGGAGAATACACAGACCCTGCCCTCACAACCCCAGTCTGACAGGGGAGGCATGGATTCATTATCAAGGGACCTCCCCAGTCTGACGAGGGAGAGACCTGGGCTTGCTTGCCCTTGAGGGGTTCCAAGTCTCAGGGGTCAGTGGCCTCTCATAGATTTATGAGCCCCTTTGACCTCGTCTCTAAGAACCAACTTAACAACTGCAAATAAGAACCAACTGGGCCAGATGGTACCATCTTGACAGGACACCTTGGTACTCTCGCTACCATGATGATTGCTACCAGTGGCTAAGTTAGGAGAGGTAGCTGGGTGTTGCTCTGCAGACCAGGCCGGTTCAGTGGGGGTCCCAGGGGTCCCCTCTAAAAGATGGTTCCCAAAACTCTTTCCCATTGGTCACCAGCGCCTGGGATCTTTCTCTTTCTTTCTTTTCTTTCCTTCTCTCTCTTTCTCTTTCTTTTCTTTCTTTCCTTCTCTCTTTCTCTTTCTCTTTCTTTCCTTCTCTCTTTCTTTCTCTTTCTCTTTCTTTCCTTCTCTCTTTCTTTCTCTTTCTCTTTCTTTCTTTCCTTTCTAGATGGGCTCTTGCCCTGTCATCCACACTGGAGTGCAGTGGTGCGATCATAGCTCACTGCAGCCTCGAACTCCTGGGCTCAAGCAATCCTCTCGCCTCAGCCTCCTGAATAGCTGAGACTACAGGCTGAAGCTACCAGGCTGGGCTAATGTTTAAAGTTTTGGTAGAGATGAGATCTCGCTGTGTTGTCCAGGCTGGTCTGGAACTGCCAGGCTCAAGTGATCCTCCACCTTGGCCTCCCAAAGTGTTGGGATTACAGGCATGAGCCACGACGCTTAGTGTCACAAGTACTTCAAATATGTCTTAGGTTAGTATCATCTCCGCAATCAGACCCCCAGGAATAATACTGTCTCCCACCAGGCGCGGTGGCTCACGCCTCTAATCCCAGCACTTTGGGAGGCCAAGGCGGGTGGATCACGAGGTCAGGAGTTCAAGACCAGCCTGGCGAACAAGGTGAAACCCCGTCTCTATTAAAAGTATAAAAAAGTAGCCGAGTGTGGTGGTGCATCCCTGTAATCCCAGCTACTCAGGAGAGACCTGAGGCAGGAGAATCCGCTTGAAACCCAGGAAGGCGGGTTGCAGTGAGGCCAAAGATGTGCCAGTTGCACTCCAGCCTGGGCGACAAGCAAGACTTCCGTCTCCCAGGGAAGAAAAAAGTTATATATACTGTTCTCAGAGTCAACCCAAGGGCAGGCATGTCCCCTCATCCTGATAAATTCCGCACTAGTAAGACTAATTTCCTCCCGTACTCTTCACAACTACCCAAGTGCACATCCCAATTCCTAGGCTATTTCCCCTCACTTGGAGAACCCTCCCCACAGTCAGAAGAACTGTCCAATGGACGCTGGGTGCGGTGGCTCATGCCGTAATCCCAGCACTCTTGGGAAGGCCAGGCCGTGGATCACTTGAGGTCAGGAGTTCTGAGACCAGCCTGGTCAACATGAAATGAAACCCCATCCTATTAAAAATATAAAAATTAGCCGGGTGGTAGTGGTGGGCACCTGTATCCCAGCTTTCTAGGAGGTTGACGGCAGGGAGGAATCGCTTGAACCCAAGGAGATGGAGGTTGGCAGTGAGCGAGATCCGCGCCACCCTGCCCTCCAGCCTGAGCGGACCACAAGTGGGGATTCTCCGTCTCAGGAAAAAAACAAAAAAAAAAAGAACCTCATGAACTTTCCTGAACGGACCCAACCAACCCCACAGCCCAGCCTCCCATCCTACCCAGATCTGCAGCCTTGATCCTCCTTGTCATGGCGGTAGATCGGTCTTGACCTTGAAATTATGAAGTCATGCGCCCACGTGCCTCGACGAAGGCTGGGCGTGCGAAGGAGTCGTCCGCCATATCGGAACACGGAAGGAAGTCTTGCCCCACGCCTGCTGTTGCCTATCAGATACAGTTTGAACATATATCGAAGTCTGATCTGCTGCATCCCGTTGGGCCCTTGCGGGGGGGTTCTCCGCTGATGCCATCTTCCTGGCACTAGCTCCCGGGACAGGAGACCTTAAATCCTCAGGGAGAGGACAGGCGCGTCCGCCATGGATATCAACACCAACAACAGCATCTGTGGATGATGCACCCAGGCCCTGAATTCAAATCTCAGCTCAGCCATTGGAGCCAAGTTGGATGCTGGATGCATTGCTTGCCCCCTCTAGACCTCAATGTCCTCTTCTGCAAAAATGGGATGTTTCTCATAGTCCCTTCCTGAAAGGTAGTTAGTTGTGAGCCTAAAAATGATTTTCTTTCTTCTCTTTTTTTAGAGACAAGGATCTCGCTCTGTTGGCCTGAGGCCTGTGAGCGCAGTGGCGTGATCATAGCTCACTGCAGTCCTTGACCTCCTGGGCTTAAGCGATCCTCCTGCTCGAAGCTCCCAAGTAGCCTGGGACTACAGCCATGCCACACATCAGGCTAATTTACAAAAAAAAAAAAAAAATGTAGAGATATGGGTCTCACGTATGTGTGCCCATGGCTGGTTTTCACACTCTCTGCTCAAACAGTCCTTCTGCCTCAGCCTTACCCAATGTGCCTGCAGGAATTAAGGCATGAGCCACCATGCCCGACCTAATAATGTGTTTCTTTATTCATTCAACCAAATGCTGCTCTCTGCCCAGGCCCTGTTTCCCCGTGGAGATGCAGCCTGGGAATAGAACAGAGAAAAAGTCCATCCTCAGGTGGTCACGTTCCTTCCAGGGGAAGGTATTAGCACCATTAACGGGTCCAATGTAGACAGTGCCTGGTAGACAGCTGGGGCACAAAAAGCAAGTGACTGTCTTTAATCTCACACCCTGTGGCGTAACTGAGTCTTTATTGGGGTGGAAGGTGGGGAGACCCCTTTCCTGTCTGGAAACCCCCCAAGAGGCCTAGCAAAGGGTTCAGTGCAAGGCCCAGGGTAAAGGGGCTCCGGCCGCTGCAGAACTAGATTCTGGAGAAGGCGGCAGGTGGTGACTTCGCCCCTGCGCGATCCCACCTGGTGTGGCCCAGGTGTAAGCCTGGAATGGGGAGGGAGGGAGGACTGCCAGGCTGTAAGCTTGGATGAAGCCCCCGACTAAGGCTGGGTGTTTGACTTTGGCAGGTGTCCAGCCCTGGGGCGCCTGCCCTCCCCTGACTCATGCCAAATACAGCCTTTCTCTGAGTTCTAGAGGGGAAGGGGGGTTTTCTCACGTACCGGGCCCAGGTTTAAAGTACAGTTCTAACCCCCTAAATGGGTACTGCCATTTTTCTATTTTGTCAAGGGGCCGGGCCTGT